TCATCCTTATTAAAATTAAAATTTAATTTAATGCAACGTGGGTACCTTTTTCCTTCCAAAAACAAATGATTGACATTGCTATAAAAAAAAAAGGCAATATTTTGGTGTCATCACCTAAACAGGTATAAATCTATTTTAATTAATTTTTTTTTAAAAGAAGGCTAAATTATATATATGTAAAACTCTTAAACGGAGTAATTTATTAAAAAAAGTGTTCATATTTAAAAAAAAAAAATTGTAATATTACCATTGGTCTTTCAAAATTATTTGTATTATGTATATTTCAAATTGAGAAATAGGAAGGTATTTAATGAATCGTTGTTGGACGACGAGAAATGGGTTAAATAGTTAAAAATGGCAAAAAAGAACCACTTTTAGAATGTACAAATGCTCTTTAGGCGCCGCGCCCCGCAATTTCAGATCTGAAAGAGATCTCTCTCAATTTTCTTCTCTCATTTCACGACCTGGGTTCTCTCTCATTTCACGATCTGGGTTCATATCCTCAGTTTTACTGTTATTGTTTTTTAATCCCTCTGATCTCTTTTCCGGCTTTTTCTTGTTTGTTCGTGTTCCAGTTCGATCCCTTCATGGATTCTAGCTTGAAAATGCCGGAATTGGCTTCTTCTTATTGATTTACTGTTTGTCGGTGAGTTTTTCTTTCTCTCCTGAAGAGTAAAATAACAATAATTGTAGAAAAAACTGGTCCAATCCCCTACCCTTTTCCTCCTACTGCAAATGTTCTTCATGTTAAGGATATTTAGTAATAAATTATAGTTTATCATATATATTATATTTGATATTTTATTATAAGGCAAATATCTAACATTTGCCTTATTACTATAGGTATCTTTCCATTTATTGTTATTTCCATTTATTACTATTTCCATATCCTTGTAATTTATTTGATTATAAATAAGATAACTTTCACACCATTTAGGTGTGGTGGATTAAGCAAACATTCACATGGTATCAGAGTCATTTTGGTTTAGCAACCTAGATCCTTTCTTTTCAATGGCTTTTGAAATCTTCTACTGTTCTTCTCCACCACCACTGTTGTCTTTGATGCCGCAGGGGCAGTCGTCATGGCTGTCACATGCAGATTCGATTGATTATTCTTCGGCTCCACCTTTTTGACCTCCAAATCATCCTTCGCCATACTCTGTACATACAACCTCACCTTTTCCAAACATAGCCTCCTTTCATTTTCTTCCCAATTTTCCCTTCATCCTTCATCCTTCATCCTTCACAAAAACCCTAATCTTAGGATCTTCATAAGCATTCCTCTTCGAAAATATACAGAATCTCAATAAGCCCATCGACCTTCTGCAGAGATTTACCTTTGGAATCTGGGCGCCGCACTGGCATCTTCGCCAACCAAGTTGCCGCCGCCCTCCTCGCCAAAATTGGCTCCTTCGCCCCAATGTGGCGACTCTTCCAGCTGCCCTTCTCGCCAAAATTGGCTCATTCGCCCAATGTGGCGACTCTTCCGGCTTCAACATTGTCTTTGTCCCTTGCTCTAGGTTTCCCCTTCTACTTCTTGGGGTTAGACATATTCTCACCAGAGCCAAGTCAGCATCGTCGCTAAGCGACAATCCCTCTTCATGGGTTAGACATATTCTCACCGAAGCCAAGGCAGCATTGCCGCTGAGCGGCGATCTCTCTGCAGTTTTCGATGGCCAAGAAAGTGTTTCTCTACGCCTCCTCTGAACCAGGTTGTTAACATCTTCACGAAAAGTGTTTTTCAACCTCTTTAAATTTTTCAGATTCAAGCTTCACGTTCGTTTAAATCCGACGCTTAGCTTGCGGTGGGGTGTTAAGGATATTTAGTAATAAATTATAGTTTATCATATATATTATATTTGATATTTTATTATAAGGCAAATATCTAACATTTGCCTTATTACTATAGGTATCTTTCCATTTATTGTTATTTCCATTTATTACTATTTCCATATCCTTGTAATTTATTTGATTATAAATAAGATAACTTTCACACCATTTAGGTGTGGTGGATTAAGCAAACATTCACACTTCATTATCATGAGTACGGTGTTTTCTTTGTATGCTCTGTTGTCTGGTTTTAATGAAATCAGGTGGAGAAACGAACTCCACTCCTTATTTCATTCATTTTCTGATTTTCATTTGTCGTTCGTGAAAGAGAACTGAAAAAATGGGGTGGGGATAGGGGGAATTCCTTATTTAATTCAATTTGTGCTTTTCCTTGTGCTTCTATCTAGTCATTGTGGTTAATACTATCGATTTAAATTTGACTGGACAGGCTTATTACTTAAGTTTTAATTAAGTTTGTGTGATGGGATTAGTAACTAATAGATAATGGCCATGTCATAGCAACGTTCTTGAATGTTGTTATGGTATGGGAGGACAAAGAAGAAGTATGATTCGAAGTTTAAGGATGTCATTGGCATTTTATAAAGTTTAGGATGTAAATGAACTGAACAAAATGCTCAAAGTTTATGGTTACAATTTTCCGTGTATAGAAATGTGTTTAAAGTTGTTTTGGGTTTATTTTTCATAAAAGGATTCTCAGAAGTGTTAAGAAGATGAGAAGAAAAGAAGAACCCTTTGATTCAGGATCCTGGTAGAATGAATGCCCTGCTGAAATGGAAATTAAAACTTCTTTAGATGGGCAGTTTAGATTATATGGCTACAGAAGATAGAGAGTTTGAAATAGATCTTGAAGGTGGTGGTTATACTAGCGAAGATGATTTGAGCAGTGAAACTGACTTAACATCCAAGACGCATGCTAGAAAAAATTTTAGCAGGCTTCGAAGCGGGGTTCTGTGTGCTGATGGATCTATAAATCGAAATGGTAGCTTTGCTTCCAGTAGTGATTCCACCAAGCTTGTTAAGCTAGGTGTTGATGAGAATGTGCAGTTGTTGATGGGCAGTTTAGAGGGAGAAAAGAGAAGAGAATTTGCAGCTCTTGTAGAGAAGAAGAAGAACGTGAAAGAGAAGATTAAGAAGGGAAAGGTTCACAAGCCACCACGACCCCCACGGGGTCCGTCGTTGGATGCTGCTGACAGGATATTTGTTAAAGAGATCGCCGAGTTGGCAGTGAAAAAACGTGCCACAGTTGAGCGAATAAAAGCTTTGAAGAAGATGAAAGCAGAGAAAACATCTTCATCCAACAGCAGCTTACCTGCCTTATTTATCACATTGCTTTTCTTTGTAATCATTATCTTTCAAGGTATGGGGTAGTTCAAATTATATTTTTCTGCAACTTTTCGATACTTTCATGACTGTACTTCTTTTTCCTTGTTTGGCATGGCTATTAGGAACAATGCATTGATACTAAAAACCTTGTACACAATCAACCAAGGAGAGTTTGAGATACCCTTTCACCTTCAAATTTACTATAATTGCTAAAAGCTCTCAAATTCACATTGTGCCAAAAGGAGGATAGTTCTGCAGCATCTAATGTATTCTCATGTTTGTAAAAATCTCCTTGCAGGAATGAGTGCTATAGGCAGTGTAAGGGTATCGGAGTCTCCTGTGGCTTCCGGTGGTGGAAGCGCAAGCTTGATTGTTCAGAATTTGCCTCAATCTTCCCCTAACGTTAACGGAGCTCAATCCCATGTTCTCGAGTCAGTTTAGCTCAATCTTTACATGGTTCATTGTAGTAAACTCTTATGTTTGTTTGTCATTTATGTTAAATCCATTTCTCTAATGCAGTTTTGCAGGAAATCAAACTTCTGACCCTGCTACCATAGAAGGGAGCTCAGTGGAAGAGTTGGAGAACCATTGAAGTTTAGTGTCAATAATCTGGTAAATTATCGCCATCTCCTTTAGACTGAAATTTTCATGCCATATAATTTGATTGAAGGCTTCTGATCGTGTTGGCATCTGTAAATATGGCAAGGCCTCAAACCTTAAATTCTCTTTTGATAGGCTTTCCTTGTACAGAGAGAGTTCACATAATTTGATCCATAATATCTTTGCTATAATCAAATTGGCTCGCCCTAGAACTTAGTTAATGGACTTCGTGGTTCAAGACTGATTAAATACAGACATTAGGGTGCTGAGGCTTGATTAAGAATCTCGAAAGATCTTTCTCAGCTTACTTTGTTACAACGGACCGTTAGATTAGCAGGGTGCTACAGATTGAGGAAATGAATGTCATTTTGTCTTTGAGATTTCCATGGTATGAGAATGTTTATTTTGACCCTAGTAAACGTGACACCTCTCCAATTGTTTGGAAGATATCTGGAAAAATATATCTAAAATCATACAAAGTTCGATGGACAAAGCATTGAAATCAAGTTGTCAACTTGAGCATAGTTCATTCAGTCGAGATATTATGGTCTCAACTAAACAATGAACTTCAAAGGTGACTTATACTCGGTCACATACATGGAAAAAATTAATGAAGCAAAAACTATATTCTTGCACTCTCAAAAGTGACCCATACTTCAACATTATTTCCCAAGAAATGGATATTAAACTTGTTAAAAGGAATAAAAGCTCGAGTTCTTGGTAAAGAGAAGTGGAAGAAAAACCTCTTTTTATAGTTGTAAAATTGCTAGAAACGTGGCAAAACTCACCTTTGCTACTCTCACGAGACAACCTTCTAACCCTCTAAGCTCTCTATTATATATCTAATTTTATCTGATCCCTTGGTCAACCTAAGGTGGTTATATATAAGACATTAAATTTCATTTCTACATGTCTATGAGTTAGACATCGATCACCTTAACTAGTCTCACAAGACAACCACCTAACCTTCTAAACCCTTTATTATTTATCTGATTCTTATTGGCCACCAAACTAACCTGTGGCGGTTCTATATATGATGTTGAGTTTTCGTTGACATGTTAACATTTATTAACAAAGTGTACGATCTTAAATATTAATTAAAAATATTTTTTAATTTGTTTTCTTTGTAGTTTTCTAAATATATCCATCAACATATTAAGCTTTGGTCCTATAATCAGTTTTGATCAAAGATGATCTTTAAATTTTTTGAGGAACTTAAAAAAAACTTTTCCGAAGAAGATGGTAGTTTCTTAATATATAAACTTATTTTGTAACCCTTCCATAGAATGAGGTCTACTGAAGCATCATTCAACTACCATACTCCCATCTGTCAGTGAACCCACATAGTCCTTAATTTGCGAGAAGAAGAAAAAAGAGAAAGAAAGAGCTGTTTCTTTGTTACTACAACCAAATGGTTTTGGATGTATGATTTTTATTTCAGACAGATCAGCTGTGCTTCAACTTCATCACCTCTTTGCCTCCAAGTTTTTATATTCTTCGTTGATTTGCACCTGCAACATTAGGGAGCTTTAAGTGACCTCAGTTTTGGAGAATTCAATCTATAAAAAACAGAGTTCTCCAACCAACCTCATAGTGTTTGAGTAGATTGTTTCTCTTCTTTTTCAAAGTTGCTGTCACCATATCTTTTTCGATGTCAAATGGGTGTGATTCCAACACAACTCCTTTGATGTATTCGAAACGTTTCAACTGATGTGAATCAAAGACGTTGAGTTTGATCAAGTGAAAAGAAAGAAAAATTTATAGTTTCATAGCTACTTAATTGCCATCGAAGTAGAGCTGAGGGTTGGATTAGATTTCTTGTTTAAGCAAACGTAATACCTTGTTTCTTTCAGCTGTGGAAGTGAGCTCAGAGAGAACATAATTTCTGAGCTGTTCAAGAGAACTAAGCTCAGAGAAAGAACACAAAAAGCCATTAGAATTTGCCCATTTCTTGGTGTTTTCCTCATGTAGAACCACCACTGCAACTAGCCTTGATTTGAAGCTATTCCCATAGATCCATATCTTTGGAAAGAGTATATCAAAGAAACTCAAGTCACCAAATTGTAATTTAGTTTTAGAAAGAGACTCAAAAGGACGATTCGAAACTTACATCCTCGACGATCGGGGTATTCGAGTAGACATTTTCTAAGTATTCGAGTGCTATGTATTCTCCTTGGGATAGTTTTATGAGATTCTTCTTCCTGTCAATGATCTTCACAACCCCATTGGGTAAGATTTCTCCTATGTCTCCTGAAGTAGTAGAAGAATGGAAGAAACAAGTTAAATAGCAATGAATTGTCAGACAAGAACAAGAGAGGGAAGTGATGAACCACCTGTGTGAAACCAACCATCCTTTATTGCCTCTTTGGTTAGTTCAGGGTTTTTGTAGTATTCAGTGAAAACAGACTTTCCTCTCACACATATTTCACCACATGGACGATCCCCAAGAGGATTGTAACCCATCTCTGGAACCTCCTCCAAGCGAAGATCATTGAATGGAGTAACGCTCCCAACGGTTCCGAGCATACACATTTCATCAGGAAAGCCAATAGTTGTTGGTCCACAAGTTTCAGTCAATCCTAAATTTTACCATACATTGCTGTTCTTAATGTTTGAACAAGTTTTAAACAATATGTTGCATTGCAATGTAAATCATTAGCAACAATGATGACGAGGAAACTCGTTAAGCATATTGCAACGAAGAATGGAGAATCTTTAAACTAGGAATGTGCCTAAAAGCAACCACTAAAGCTGAACAATAGTTTTTCTGTAGCTAGTGATCTTTACCATATCCTTGGATAAAAAAAGCACAACATGTGACCCTCAGAAACTCTTCCACTTCTGAGCTTAAGGCTGCACCCCCAGATATTATTAGTCGAAGGCGGCCGCCTAATCTAGCTTTCACCTGAGTTCATACAAGTTTAGTGTTAGGGGATAATCAAGTTAGTCATGGACATGTAAGTAGTTTGAAATGACTTTTCAAGTGCACAACAAAAAAAGCTTTTTAGGTGAAAAAAAGTCATTTCAAATAGATTCTTAGAGTGATAAGGAACTAGAAATTGAGAGGACGTAATAGATTAAGAGTGTAGGACTCGACCTTCCTGAATGCCAAGAAATCTGCCAAAGGGGATGCTTCTTTCTGCTTGTATCCTCTATTCATCCATGAAAGTTTGCTGCAAGTTCAGCATAAATATGATTCATCTTTGATCTTATAAGAATCTTGTAGAAAAGAAGCAAACCACAGGCACTGAAAGATCAAGGTTGACTTACTATCTATAGAGCAAATCAAAAGCCTTTCTTCTCACTGGATTGAGTACTTGTACAGCTTGTTTGATTCCTGAAATAAGCACTATATTTCTTAATTTTGCCTTGTTAACAAGTTATGAATAGTAACAGAATTACAGATAACAAGCAGTGTTTTCGTGCCTTCCTGAATCCTCTCAAAAACTCGAGGTACTCCGACTATAAGCGTCGGCTTTAACTCCATTAGATCTTCTTTTATTCCATTAAGATCCTTCATAAAACAAATGAGAAACGAAAATGAGCTGTCCTGATCATCTCTTCAAAGAAAATTTGTAAATCAAAGGTCTGAATCTGGTTCAAAAGGAGATGCCATGAAAAATACAATACCCCATGGTAGTAGCCAACAGATGCGCCTTTACGAAAGAAATATTCCTCGACCGTTCGGTCGAGGATATGAGCTAGAGGCAGGAATGATAGATACACATCATCCTCTGTCATCTGTTGACAAAGGAAAAAGCTTAGGAAGTTAAAAGAAAATGCAAGCCATCAATAATCCTGAGTTTGATAAGGGGACTTATCTACCTTGTCTTCAAACTGCTCCATGTAGATATCAACTCCTCTAATAAACGTTACTAAGGTTTCATGTGTTAACACAACACCTTTAGGAGTTCCACTAGTTCCACTTGTGTACATAATCGTGCAAATGTCGAGAAGTCGTGGAGGAGTGATCTCAGAAGGATTTTCTTTTCCCTGATACAAAGTAGATTCATGCGTCAACTCCAACGTATAGTAACGGACGCTAAAACGTCGTTTAGATTTAAAACCGACCAGGCGAAAGAACTCGTCCCATGAGTATGTTTTCACCCCATTGTCTGCGGCTGAGATCTTATCTTCCTCCTTGAGTGAAGTAAAGCAGACAACAACTACGAAAGTGAATCGAAATAAGTCAATTGGTTCAATGATTGCTAGAAAACCATCTTATATTCATCATTCTCACCTTTCAGCCTCTCAGGGTTTGTCCTTTCAGACTTTAATAGCTGCAAAATGAACATTGAATATCAACCATGTCTAGTAAGTGCCTCTTTTTTGGTTTAGATTGAGATGTGAAAGCATATTATATTAACTAGAAAGCTGTTATTACTTCTTTTGCTTTCTTATCTTGGACGAAAACGATATCGATCTCTGCATGGTCTATAATGAAGTTAACAGCTTCATGTCCTGCAATTCATTTAGCCTCTTCTCTATTAGTTTAAGAATCAACAGGAAGTTCAACTTGAAGTTATTACTTACAAAGAGATGAACTATACCGAGGGTATCATAGAGTGGCACACAGATCATACTGTGGGCATTGCAGGCCTACACAAAACATTTAGAGCATTTGTTACCTGATACAATGAAACAACTACAAAATTGAAGAAGGTTTCAGCTGAACCTCCATTGCTATTATCCATTGAGGACAGTTCTCCCCATAAATCCCGATTCTCGAGCCCTGTCGTGCAAAATCATCATCTCTTTAGTTTCTCAGTTCTTACAATATGCTCTTGAAACTGCAGGAGTATGCTTACCGGTTTGACGCCAACAGCGCGTAGTGCAGAACCAATGTTAAGAACATCACCATAAACTTCTTTGTAAGTTTTCCATATGTAAGGTCCTGGCTGGATACCGAAACCATTCAAGTTCATATACATTTCTTTCATGTTCTCTTTTCATATAGATTATAAGAGTTCAATTCACCTTCCCATCGACAAATTTTCGCCATCCGAGCATTTGCCTTCCAGCATACTTTTCAGCTGAAACTCTGCAAAACAATCCAAGAAACCAATTTCATGTTCTTAACATTCTAAGGCTTGCAATAACATCAAACCATTCATTTCACACAATCAATCATTTGAATCCCAAAACATAGCCAGAGCATGAACTCTGTATATAACCTGAAAAGATCCCAAGATGTGTTCAAATCCTCAAACAGAGAAGGAGAGCCATCTTTCGCAATAACATTTCGATAAACCGGTCCAATGGACGGTTTCCCATCTTTGCCTTCCCTTCCTTCCTCGACCTTGATCGAAAACCTCTTCATTCTTTAACTCCGGGAAAACCTGTTGCATTGATCATTAATGGAACTCAAGGAAAACTCTGTCTCAAAGTTCAGAAGTCAAAAAATGTCCCAACTTCCATTGAAACTTTCAGTAGAAAGGAAAAGAGAAAAAACAGAAGGTAACAGAAGACTTCTCAGAAAAATTAATTACAAAGGTAACGTTCTACATAAAACGTTGTATAGGTCTAGTAAGACACCTACTAACTGCAGACATTAATGAGAGGCCAACCACCATTCCCAAATGCTTCTAGTTGAAGACTCAGAGAAACAAAAAGCCTCAAACTTTATGGAGTCTTGAAAGAAAAACAGAGAACTATAACAGAAGCTCATTAGGATCAATGGGTACCTTTCAAAAGTTCATATTTTTAAGATGAGAAACTCTAAACCCATGGCAATGGTTACAAAGTTAACTATGAACATAGTCATTGTGCATTACGAATAAGAACAGAAGATCAAACACACCACAAAAGCATAAAATAGAAGAGTGTGAATGAAAAATGGAGGTTGTTCTTCAACAGCCATGGAAATGGAGGTAACATGTTGAGTATCAAAACCCCACTTCCAAAATGCACAGAACAAACACAAAAACAGAGCAAGAAACAGAGAGGGAAAGGGAAGTGGTGGCTTACAGAGGTATGAGCAGAAACAGGAAGGAAAAATCATGCAATGCAAGCAAGGGAGGTGAGGTGAGGTGGTGGAGCAATGGTGAATTGAGTTCAATATAATGGCCAATGGGATGTGAAAGCACACACGCATGTCACGCATTGATTGGTTTAAAGCTCTATAGACGAAGTAATTTAATATCACCCCATTTTTCTTCCATTCACAATTCGACATGTCGTTGTTCGGTGTTCTATTATATTATTTTGGACTTTGCCATAATCTTAAATATTTTCAAGCCATTAACAAAAATTAGCTTATTTTAAAAAATCCATTAATGAGCTCAAAAAAATAGCAATCATTATTAATTATTATAATTAACTCTAATTATTAAGCAAATGGAAACTTCTATTAATTTATTTGACGAGTAAATTTTATATATTAGCTGATTGGTTAATAGAGTTACATTGAGGTAATTTTAAAGCATTAAAATTAAATAAATTTAAAAAAATTCATGCTTTATTATATTGATTTTGAAAATTTATTAAAAATTAATTAATTAATAAAGATTAAAGTCAGGATATTAGGATTTGATATCGTATTCAATGAATATATAAGTTTTATTGATTTTTTTTTATTTATATACTTTTTATTTTTAAAATAAAAAACATAATATGAACCAATTTAAATATAGTTGAATAAATAAAAGTCGATTATTCTATTAAAAAAAATTTGAGTGATAAATTTATTTTTTAAATTTGTTTTCAAAATTGATAATTATTACAACTGCGAGGGGGGCCCACGAGGTAGACAACTCAGACATGTTGGCTTTAATGAAACAATAAATGAACTTTCATCTTTTGGAACTCCACCTTGTGTAATACTTTTTATCATTTATTTATTCACATTATTATTTAACCAATAAAATAGACTTTATTAATAACTTTGATATATCATATAGTGGAAATACTTATATATAACTAAGTAGTAAAGTAAATTTGGTCAAGTCGGAAAATCTCGGTGGTCTTGAGCTTGAAGCTACGACATCCCATCAATTCTATCGGAAAAGAGCGAGGTTGATGTTAGGTGGTGTCTTATCTTAAGTGCTCAATTGTTAACTTAGTAAGACTCAATTAACACGTTTTAATAAGTTTTTTTTACTAGATACATAACGAGCCAAATTGACAATATCTGTTAGCAGTGAATTTGGGAGGGATGGACATCTTTCTCCTTTTTAGTATCACTAGATTAGCCTCACATAATTAAAGGTGAGATTATTTGTTACATAATTAAGGGTTAGTCATTATTAGTATCTCCTACCAACGAAATTAAGACTATATTGAAGGTAAGTGTTAAGGATACGTGTAGCTCAAGGAGTTATGTGTCACTAAAGGGACCTATCAACAACGATGAAAATCACACAACTCAAAACATAAAAAAGTAATAGTTAAAACATACAAACTTTTGTGAGTTTATTTTTTGATCAATTTAATTCTTGAAATTTTAATTTTGTATCTACGTGGGCAAAGAAACAAACCTAACTACAAAGGGGACCATCGTATACTTTGTTAGTTCGCCATCAAACGAAGGAGAGAAAGCGAACATTCATATTGAAGTTTTGTCCTTGGGACACTTAGTCTTCTCAATTTTATATTTATTATTATTTTTCTTTTTTCTTTTTACTTTTCTCCTTCCTTCGAATTTTTCTCTCTCCTATTTAAAAGAACATAATCGATGGAACAAAAGAAAGTAAAATATCTGTTATGTGGGTTTGAACGTTTACAAATTTACTTTCTATTACATCAAATTTGATCTTATTTATACCGAATCTCCCACTAATTATACCAAAAAGTAATGCAAACCTCAGATATTGAAGGATAAAAATATATATATCTATATATATATATATATAAAATTTACCTAAACAAAGCATCACGAGGTAAAAATGTTGAAAGAGAAGATTAGTGAGTGTGAAGTTACCTACTTTTTCATTATTGTACGCATCCAACGCTCCCTCCACCAGAGAAATCGGCCGGAAGCTCACACCTTACGCATATGAGCAATAAATAAAGTAAACTATAATGCATCAACTACTCTTCAACTAAAAATTACCTAAAATGTTAGCTAAAAATTACCCGAATAAAAGAATGGTACATGAATTAATGGAGACCACTTCTAAATGTAAACGATTCTAAAGATAGAATGATAAATAAAAGTTATTACATATATCAATAATAAGATGACCTAGATTGACTGTGCAAGGACAAAATATACTAAAATGATTAGTGTGGGTCTATGAGAATAACTTTCAGTGTTAGAAACAAGGAGTAAATAACGTGGCTTTGTCGCAAGGATTGCACGGGAATGTCAAGACCATCAAGGACCGAATCTAGTGTCCTAATTTTCGTTCTTCAATAATAAAATTTCTACATCAAAGTTAGCTTTGAAATATTGATAGTGATAGAAGGTTTAAGGTAATAATGCAACTTGTGAAAGAAGAAGCTGGTTTAAGATAATAATGCAACTTCTAAAAGAAGAAGCGGGTTTAAGATAATAACGCAACTTCTTAAATAAGAAGCGTCGTGGAATTGACGAGACAAAACGGGTTGGTTTGGTATTAAACCAATAAAAGTGGGCTAAAACAGAAGGGCAATGGTGTAGGTACATAAACTCACTGTTATTGCCCCCATGTCATTGATTTGATCTTGTCGAAGTTTAATTTGGGCGGCGGAAACAACTGAAGAGGAGTAAATTCAAGAACTGTTTCTATGCAATTTAGTAACCCAACTTGGGCTGAACATGATCAATAGTTATGGAGTTTGTTTTCATGTGAATCACCTTCATTGCTTTGGTTCACCATTTATTTCCCTTTAAATCTTTTAGCAAGCCCTATACTAGGCTCGACCAAAACCCGACGTGGACCACATTCTAATAATACTCGAACCATTCAAGCCTACCAGATGGTTCGTGACTGACCTAACTCACGAGACAAATATCCAACCCTTACATATTATTGACAAATTTAATAATGTTTTTCTAATTGTTGCTGGTTTTCCACCCACCTTTTACATAATGGAGTTGGTAAAAATGGATGTTGGTTGAAACTATTAAATTTGTGATCGTGTATATCTTAATTACTTGATATCCATTTTGAAAATGTTAATGTTACGAATGTATAAAATCTTTTGAGTTTATAATGAAACAATTATGAACCTTTTAATGAATAGGTGCATTATTACGAAAATTATTTTAATAATAGAACGAATTGAATAATATGAATCTTCTTATATTTAACTCTCTTTGGATCCGAGAAAGAATATAAATCATCTAATATCTTATACCAAAATTATACTTTGTACTCATATTTTATTATATTTTCAAAATTTAGGTACAAAGTGTTGTTGGGACATAATATTTGAAGAATATATTAGTTAGGAAATATATCTTAAATATTATATCTTAATTTTTTTTTAATGATTTAATTTATAGTATATTTTATTTTATTCTTCGTATTTAATTAGTTTATATATTTTTTTATTGATATATATTAGTTGGTAGTTTGTATTTTATTTAAAGGTTATAAATATGAATGAGAATATACCTTTTCAATCTCAATTCTATTTTTCATTTATAGAATGAAAAATAATAAGCTTCAATAACCGACAAATTTGATATATATTTATATATATGTATATTAATAATAAACACAAAGAATTAAAATGAAAGGGAAGGAGCCGACACGAGGCATATTATGGAGGAGACAGATTTTCGACGTGTCGAACTGCCACAAAATTTTTAGTGATCAGACTAGTAACTGTCGGATTCTCAATCAGCTGTCGTTCGAAGGGAGCCATTTGTCCCACATCGAAAAGATTTGATGGCGTGCTAAAGGATGAGAATTGAGATGGACAAATCCAGTAAAAGTCCAAATTATTTTTCAAGAATATAGCTTATTACAATTTTACCCCTCCTTATTGCATTAAAAATCCCTTCGTAAGCGATTTACGAATATAGCCCTATTGGGATGCTTGGCTTGCGAAATTTTTGTGGAGAAAATAGTAAGACCGAAAATATAATTTTAACTCCGTAATTTATTAATTCATACACTATTATTAGATATTAATAATAAGTCAAATTTTCAAGTCTTTTATATATTATTATTAATATTAAAAAATGTTTTGAGTAATTTCTTTTATTTTTGAGTTATAAAGACTATATTTTAACTAATTGAAAAGTTATTTTATTATTTGTATTTTAATTCTTTTATTATTTAATTCTCAAAATGTGTATTTTGGTTTTTGAAACTTCAAAAATATTATCAAATCACATTTTATAACTATTTTATTTTCTATTTTAAGAATCATGTTTCCGGTCATTGTTTTGTTAAGCTTTTACTTTCTTAAAAAATACATTTCAATTTTAAACAAATATTGAAAAAAAAAAATCATTTTTCAACACTACTCGAAATATGTTTAAAAAGTAAGAAATAAATTAAGAAAACTATATATATAGAGGTAATTGTTGTAAGCTTAATTAATTTATTAAACAAATAAAAAATAATGGAGATTTAATTAATGCATATTGCAATTAATCTATATCATTGTAAGTAATTATGGTTGATGCACATGTTTGAAGTCATTTATTTATCTAGTAACTAATTAACGACCATAAATAATTATAAAAATTAAGTTCCGTTAGTTAGAAGTTTTAATTTTAATTTTAGTTTTTATCAAAATTAGTTAAATCGTATTTTTTTTTTTAAAAAAAAGACAACTTGATTATGTTTTTTTAAGTTATAAAAGGGATTATTAATATATATTTTCTTTTTTTTAGTTAATTAAGTGGGATAATGAGTTATATTATTTAAAACAAAATTTTCAACTAAACAATTGAGTGACGTCCTTTATCTCAAAATTCTCTTTCTTTACCTATCACTCAACCATGTTATTAGCGGGTTTTGCGCCTGTAATGATTTCAAAGAGTCGGTGAGTCCAGTTGCCAAAAGTTTTTGAGACTAGATGTGTCGATTTGTCATTCAATTGTCGTTCAAAAGCATCTTTTTAAACCACATCGGTTAGTTTACAATATAATTGATGGTTTAAATAAGACCAATTGAACCAAGCTATCGTCCCTTCGGGGATAATTGATAAAACTGGAACGATACAGAGAAGATTAGCATGGCCCTTGTGCAAGGATGACACGCACAAATCTAGAAATGATCCAATATTTTTTTTTTTTTTTTTTTGCCCCCGATCCTAACCATATATTTATAGATATATCCCTCTCTAATGACCTCTCCAATACTACGAATATATTACGAATTCTAACCGTATAATTACGAATATATCCCTTTCGGTTCACCATTACTAAATTGATACACTTATATATTCTTTTTTAAGAAAAAAAATCAATTTTAATATATTTCTATATACGGGAAAATTTTATTTTTGTATTATTTGGCTTCATTTTGGTTACGAAGTGTTTTTTGTTTACAGTATCTAAAAGTTATTACGTTCTAGACGTCATATAGTACCTTGGTATATACTCCTTTGATTTGGTACTAAAATTCATCGTCCCTCTTTCATAAACTGACTTAACGCGTGCGATAGATTGATGCACGCAAATTAAATAGAGATTATATTTAATTAATATTAATAAATAATTTGTTCTTGAATTAAATTAAATTTATTTAATCCATAAACATTAAAAGTGTTAAATATACATAGGAATAAAATTTGTAATTTAGGAATGGCAGATGAGTATCCAAATTGAAAAGGATAATTACAATAATAGAATATGAAAAGGAGTATGAGGCCATTAATTGCATGCATTGGCAAAGCAAAGGATGGGTAAAAGCATATATCTATTTGTTTAAATACAATATTGATTCATAAAGGTTGCGTGATGAACCTTGAAAACATTTTTTTTTTTTTTTTATAAAATTCAATGAACTAATATAATACTTCAATTAACCAAACGTATCCAAATTAATTAACCATCTAAACATTATTATAAACCACATTTATACTTATAATTACGATTTTTGAAACGCTTTTACCAAATAAAGTTATTAATCAAAAGATGTGCAATACAGAAAGACGAAGCGTTTGAAGAAAACGTCACATCAAGTTTTAATCAAAATAAGGAATTGATTAATTTATGTTAAAAAGGATTTATAGAAATTAAACATTTGAAGAAAAAACCCAAATCATAGAGGAAGCTCCATTTTAATTCTGTCACAATTTCATACCTATTGTTATTAGATGCCTATATATATAATTTTCCAAATATGTTAAAATTCTTTTGTGATAATCTTAGAGCTATGTTTTAGAAATCTAATTCTTGGATCATAATTTTTTATTCATCATGGAAACACACTATGGATGATATATAAAAATTGGATGATTTTGATTAAAATTGTTATCTTCCCACGATCGCTGTGAGATTCCACATCGATTGGAGAGAAAAATGAGTGCAAACGAGGACGTTGGCCCCGAGGAGGTGGATTGTGATGTCCCATATTGGTTGGGGAGGAGAAGCTTTGAAGCTTTGAGGGGAAGCCCGAAAGGGAAAACTCAAAGATGACAATATCTGCTAGCAGTGGTCTAGACTGTTACGATAATATCTACTGACAGTGGACTTGAGTTTATAATTGCAAGCTTCGTAATTGTTTGGTTTAGTTTCTTTCCTTATGTATATAAGTTTACAAAAACGAAGTTGTTACTTTAGATACATATGTAGAACTAGTTAGAATCTCGAGCCAAATATAAAACAAAGAAAAAGAACAACTCGGGTTAGAAATGAGAAGCAAGTGCGGTATTGGATAATAGCCAACAACGCTCTTTCCACAACCACAAAATAATTGCTATCAACTTTTCTTCTATTCTTCTTGGTGCCGAGGATTGTTGGGGGGAGTCCCACATTGACCAATTAAGAAAAAGATCATAGGTTAAAAGATTATTATTTTTATTGGTACGAGGCCTTTTGAAAAAAAAAAAACAAAAAACAAAGTTACGAACTTATACTCAAAGTGGACAATAGGATATCATTATGGAGGTTCGCAGCTTCTAACATTCTCTTCTCCACGTTACCACTTCAAATTTCATAATATATCTAAACAATTAAAAGTCCTAGCTAAGGCTGCCAACGGTCTAGATAAGACACAGCGCAGGACTCTCAATTGAGATAAGCTTTTACTCTCCAACAAGGACTACCTACCGGGGTAGCAACAACAGCCCAGCCCTTAAGACAAACTCTATGGCCTGAAATCAGAAGGTGGTGGAAGATCGTTCGAAAGCGAGTAGCTAAGACCCCGATTCGGGGAAAGCATCCAAAGAACAAGGTAGAAAGAAAGACAGGATGACGTTGAAAGTTTATAAGCCAATTCAAAGGACGACGACAAGGAAGATGGTAGGCAATCATTAAGAAGAAGATCGATGGCCAGTAAAAAATTTACAACTAAACGTTTAGGATTAAATAATTGTTTCATAAAATTAGTTGACTTGTCTTTTAGTTAATTTTTCTCGTACATGATTTCATTAAAAGATATAAATTAAAATATTAAAAACTTGAGTATTGTTCAATTGATTAAAACATATATTTAGATTAATAGATTAGAAGTATCAATTCTCATGTTCTATATTAAGCATTTAGATTTCATCTTATTCTTTGAGTTTATTTAATATTTATCTAAAAAAAAAAAAACTAAAATATGGAACTATTTTGGCACGTGAAGTTAGATACGAATTATCATATGATCAGCTTTTTTTTGTGTCAAAATTTAAATATTTTATAAGATAACACGATGAATCCTATATACAACTCAAAGAGGTGCCGTGGTCAAATTTTAGATAGTCATCCAAAAACCTAAAATTAAAATTATGTTTTAAATAATTAATGTGCTTGGTTGCTTATATCCCTCTCGTTCTAATCTTTAATAGAAATTTAACATATTTATTGCATATGCAAATATCTTTTATTTAACAATTAATTAAGATTTAGTTATTATTTCGAGAAAAATTGGATAGTGAGAAATAAGTCAAATGTTAGGATTAAAATTGATCGACAGAATGGTTAGTTCGTATTTTTTCCTAACGGTTCAAGATTAGGAAAAAAAATAAATGTCTACAGACCAACACGAGTTTTTACAACATGTTTTGTCCTCGATCTCATATGTATTTAAATTGGAGCCAATGTGGAAGGCGCAATATAACAAATTTATTGTTGTGACACGTAAAAAGACAAAAAAAATTTAGAAGAAAAAATATATGAATAGAAAAGGTCAAAATTAACGTATAAATGAGTGTAATTAAGAGGTTGATTCAAACCTTACATTATAATAAATATAGCTTTTTATTGGGTTTAAAAGTCAAAAATATTATGATATCTCTAAACTTCGACTAAAAAAATCATCGTAGTATTTATTGTTATTTTCTTAAAAAGTACTTTATAATTAAGAAATTTTTTAAAAACTATAAATAATAGATGGAGTGTTACGTTTCAAAAACTTTGTATATATATAAATATCTTTTTGTTAAAATGATTAATGAAAAAATTAATTAGGTTATTTAAATTTATATTTCTTATTTATTAATTGAAACATTTTTATTATTATTATTTTATTCTTTTGAGATATAAAAAATATATAACCAATCAGTATAATTAAAAATGTCTATTTAATCTGCGAGGCTCATTTCAAACGGAATACAGAAGGTTCGTTTCAATGAAAAAGTGGAAGAAGCAGAGAGATTATTCCGAAGTTACTAAATGGAGACAGGATGAGAACAGTCCTCGCCCTGGTTCCCCGACCCGTGTGAACGTGTCAAAGTATGATGGCTAAAATAAAAAAATAAAAATCATAAATCAAAATATAAATTGAAAAGCATGATGGAAATATTAAAAGTCAAAGCTCTCTCTCTCCTAAAGATTTCATAAATTAATACATTTGACCAAAATGGAGAAATTTAATCCAAAAAAAAATAAAATAAAATAAAAGAATCTCCATACTCTCTATCTCTTTAACACTATAAATAGACATAATTCAACTTTGAAACCCCAACACACAATCTTCCCTCTCATTTTCATCTCTTCAAAACCAAACATAACAATGGTGGTAGCATCACCCAATTCCTCCCTAACCACAAACTCCAAGCCCTCCGCGGCCAACACCGCCGCCGCTGCCGCTGCAAGGATCCCCACCATCGATCTCTCCTGTGGCACCAGCAACCGGCAAGCCCTCTCGAAGCTGCTCGTCGAGGCCAGCGAAAAGTATGGCATCTTTAAGCTCATCAACCATGGCATCCCTCAGGATTGCATTTCAAGAGCTGAAGAAGAAGCTATGGCCTTCTTCGCCAAGCCCACCGCCGAAAAGCTCGCCGCCAGCCCTAAAAGTTCTCCCGTCGACGCTGGCAATACCACTCGCTTCGGCTACGGCGTCAATAATATCGGCCATCATGGTGACATCGGAGAGATCGAATATCTTCTCCTCTCATCTCAACCTTCCTTGATTTCTCAACTCTCCTTCTCCATCTCCCAAAATCCATCCAAATTCAGGTTTTTTTTAGATTTTATAAGTTAATCGAGAATATCATGAATTTATAAGTAAAGAATATATCATTCATATGAGGAAGATTATTAAATTAAATTAAATTAAATTAAGAGTTTTTGGGTTCAAATAAAAATCCTTTTTTTTTTTTTCTTAATGCAGTTGTGCTTTAAATGATTACATACAAGCTACCAAAAATGTGGCCTGTGAGCTCCTTGATCTAATGGCTGAGGGGTTAGGGATATCAGACAACTCCATTTTCAGCCGTATGATCTTAGATTCTGAAAGTGACTCACTTCTTAGAATCAATCACTACCGTCCATTACCCGACTTCATCCATCCCTCGCCCTCCAATAAGCTTGGATTTGGCGAGCATTCTGACCCTCAGATCTTCGCCATCTTAAGATCCAACGACATTGCTGGCCTCCAAATCTTATTGGATGATGGGTTGTGGATCCCTGTCCCTCCTGACCCCACTGCCTACTACGTCATGATTGGTGATTTATTTCAGGTATATATATAATTTCTTCTTTATATCATCAATTTCATTCAAATAATTATTGTAATTTGATTCAATGATATTGGAAATATGAAGGTTTTTACCAATGGAAGGTTCGGGAGTTTGAAGCATAGGGCAACCGCGAACATAGGACCCAGGTCGAGAATGTCGATGGCTTTTTTTGCAT